TTTTAAAATTAATACTTGAAATTTCAAATAAATTAATTTATAAATCTCCTTAATTTTATTTTAAGGATTTTAAAATTTGAAAACCAAACCAAACATTCAAAATTACATTTATTCTAAATAGAGACTTAGCAATCATAAATAAATAAAATATAACAAATAAATATGACTTGAAGTATTATATGCATTTTGTTTCTGTTTGGAAACATATTTAACAGACTTGTCAAATTTGTAAGCACTATAATTAGCTTTTACTACGATATTGTTTTACATGATGTGTTTATAATATTACATAATATTCTAAGTTTATAATCATAATATACTATAATATAATTACTGTAGTATGTATTTATCAATTTACTAATACGTTATAATTATAAGTTTTTTTGTAAGTTTAAAACCTTACATGGCATATATTAAGTGGTATTGATTCTATTGAAAACTTACAATCATGATGTCGTATGATAAATATATGTATATTATCACATATCATCAATGATGTAGTTTGATAATAGAATTACATGTATTTTTACTTTGTAGGTTTAAGATTTAATCTCTAATATGTATGTACCAAATAAATTATATTATCACATTTTTGTTTGTCTCTTTTAAGAGTATTTAGTATAAAGATTTGAAATTAATAATTCGTAGTTTAATTAGACTAATTAATTTTAAAAAATATTTAAATTATATACAATAATAACCATGGATCATGTGATATCATTTACCTATTATTTGCTGATTTAAATTGTTAATCCAAACACCTAATATTTGGTTTTAAATGAATTCCACAAAAAATTGTGTAATTCGTTTTTGAATCTATATCATCATTGTATTTAGTTTGATTAAAAATTTTTTAATTCTGATTATTTGAATTCCATAATTCATACCCTTATGTTTAATTTTATCAAAATTTTGTGAAAGTCATTTATAATTCTATGCTTCTTATGTTTTTCTTTTTGTTGACCTATACTATAATTAGCTTTTTTTAATTGAAGAAAACAAAGCAAGAGTGATGTTTAGAAGAAGTGGAAATTATAATCTGTGAGTAACGAAAATTAAAACTGCTTTAAATGTTAAATTTATGAAGAAAAAACTAACCGTATCAAAGAAGATAGTCTGACTACGAATATCAAGTTCTTTCTTTCCAAGGTGTCCCTCAGTTCCTCGATAAGTCGTCTCTTTCTCTTGCTCTGTTGAAAATGTAGAAGCAAATGTAATCATGTTTGGACAGCCTTCTATCCTAATTTTTATGACCGATTGGAACTTGAGTGCAGAACTTCCAGCATAGAAACTTGACAACTTGTCACAATAATATAGCGAAATGAAGTTTAGCCATGGGAATATCAACTCTGTGTTCACTACCTCCTCAACTCCTTTTACCATAATCACTTGTTTCAAATCTTTACAGCTTGATACAGACAAGTCCTCGAGGTGCCCAAGGCTTGATACCATGGAAGGGGTAAAAAGGTATTCTAAACTGTTACAATAACAAATTCGTAGTCTTTTAAGCTTTCTAAAATTCAAGATTTCTTGAGAAGTCACAGTGTAAGAAGATGTTATCCACAACTGATTTATTTTAATCCCATACAAGTTCAATTCCTCTAAATTTGAAAACACAACCTGCAAAACAGACAATTCTTTTACTAAGAAAAAACATATATTTCAATTTTTTGATATATAAGACAAAAAAAAGGAGAAAAAGAATAAAAAAAAGAATAAAATATAAGTTCTACCAATTGAAGATGTTAGAAATGATTTGAATTAAATACTATAATTGCTAAAATAAAAAAAGATATAATTTGAGTTATGAAATGAGTGGACCAATAATATATAGTTAATATCTTCCAAGAAATTATTAAAACACTTATTTAAATTAAGAACCTATTTTTTAATCTTTATTTTGACATAAAGAACCAATAATACTTGTTTTTAATTGAATTTATAAGAATGCACATTACTCTTAAGTTAAAGAGTATTGGTTTCTGTACTAAAATAAAAGAGTACTGGTTTCTACTTTCCATTACCACTTCAAAGTAGTGAGTGTAGTAGGACAGCTAGCGTGATTTTGTGAGTGGAACAATAAATGGGGATCCACGTGGCAATGGGACATGGATCTAGACAGCTTCTATTACGTTTTTTCCTCTTTTTACGGTCAGACGAAGATTGCAATGCATTTTCCTTTTTTTTTTTTCTTGGGGGGTGAAGAACATTTTCCTAAAATTTTAGTGTTACAAATACATTGTGAGATTATTTTTAAAATATACTTTTTATTTATTTTTAATAAATATAATATTATTTTTTAATTTT